AAATATATTTTTTTACATACCCTTAGATTCCACGAGATGGTAGAAAGTCATGGTAGGTGACTAACAAAACTTACAGCCATAGTAATGGACACTTTATACAATTACTTCTCCAGTCAAGGCTGACAATATTGTCACAACTCACCCATGAGCTAAGAATGTCAGCAATATTAATATACAGCACAAAAGTCAGTGCTCAGACAGCAGAAACCTTCAAGTTTTTGTTAATAATGATAAATTGAAGATTGAAATAATGTGTCAATTGCATAACAAGTTCGTTATCATTATAGTTTGACAATATTATAATGATAATGACCTTTATTGCCTTGTTTTTAGTTCATTCCAGAAAAGGCTCTGATATGAGTAATCTTTGCGCAAGAAAGACTTTTTAAAAGTAAATTCCATTGTGGAATAGCACTTTCGAGCTATGTAATAAATAATATTTACTTATCGCCAATACACAACAGGTAAACGTTGTTATGTTAAATGCGCGTTTATGTCCCCAACGGCTTCTTGACTCCCTAATAGATAAGTACTAATCTGCTACTAAATCGATATATGTTTGTGTTCTTTATATCCCCAAACAAACATGTTCAATAAATAGACGGTTATTCTTATTATTACTACTAGCCCCTACAGGTTTACACAGGAATCGTTCGATTGACACATACTGAAGAATTACATCAATACCATGGGATGCGTGTTTACTGAAAGTAATGTCTAGGATGTAGTTCTCATAAGTAATATATACGCCCCCATTGATCGAAAACTCTATTATTTCCGAAATCAATTATTCGTTCTTGGTACTTATTTTGCAATAAAAGCCAGTCACTTTCGCGTCTCCAGTCAGTGTTTTCGAACTCGAGTATTTGTAATCTGGGTAAGTCTGCCTTCAAGATTGATTTTAGTCCTCGCATGGATACCTGACAGTCTTTTATTGAGATGCTCGCCAATTGATTAAACTTTGTTGATTCAACGCTTGAATCATCCGAATTGAAGTAAATGTATTCCAAAACAATTGATTCCAGAGAATTCGACTGTGACTCCAACAGTTCAAACACTGAACTCATCTTTGTTCTCACTTTTTTTATAGTAAAAGACTTTAGTTGATGTTGAGACTGTATGAGTTTTTGCAACCCATTATGCAATTCTTGTTCAAAGTTATATGTTCTAATCCCAGATACTTCGACCGAAATTGATTTCAAGTTATGTGCAGCCTTAGAAAGTGTGCTGAATATGCTATTATCTAATTCTAAATACCAACTTAAATTTTGCAAACAGGGCAGGCTTTTTATAGAAACCAGAAACAGACTCGGGTCCACAAGAAAAAACACCTGTCCTGTAAGAGAAAGAGTTTTGAGATTTGGACAATATTTGATTGCCAAACGGGTGATCCTGGCTGGCACATCATACCAACTGAATCGAGTGCGTCTTGTCAAAATGTGGATCTCTTTAAGATGAATCTCCTTTAAGTAAAGACGATAGTCAAACGGAAACTTTTTACTACATTCTCTCTGCATTCGTAATGCATTCTCGAGAGCGTCGACGTCAGTAAAACACTCATTGAACATGGTTATAAGATTAGTTGATCGCCTGATTGTCCTCTTTGGACTTGAATACAACAAGCTAAAAGGTTTTGCCCACAAGTATTGAAGAGCTACCACACACCAATTTCTATTAACTAATATGCAAGAGTGGAGCATAGAGAGATCGTCTGCATACTCGTCAATGATCATTACAAGAAGCTCACAAGGTAAAGAAGTCATACTTTCAAACGAGATGGAAAGCGATAATATTGTTGCTTAACTTGTGCGAATACACATTACTCAGCGCAACCAATGAATTTACTGCATTGCATTGCGCAATACTAGCCAAACAATGAGGCAGAAATATTGTCTTTAGGTATAGGAATAAAACCACAACGCATCTTCGGTGATATATCCAGTTACAACCATTGTTATATAAAGTAAGGAAGCATTTAACACATTTATTCCGTTTCATTTATCCAAGGATAAAAGTTCAAGGACCATCCACCAAAGTTGGGGGGTTTTTTTTAATTATGCATACTAATAACCTACTATTACTTAAAGTGTGAATCGCCTGTTCTGTCCATAAAATTACGAGAGCCGTTTTCACATATCAACCGTTTGTCTTTTTTTACTGGTATAGCATACTTGTTTGCCATTTTAAAAGCGGATTACTTCCCTTCTGAGAGCAATCGCAAGAATTGTTCATGGCCTTTGAAAACCGGATTTAACATCTTCGATAGATGTAGTTTGACTTGATGACAACCACGGGCACAGAGCATGAAATGACTTGGAAACTATTCCAGAAAAAGGCAAGGCTTGTTCATGCTGGTCGGTAATAAGCTCGTTGAACGAATAAGGATAGAGTAGGCAAAGACAAAAATGTATTATCTGTGTATATGAAAAGTAACGAGTATAGCAGTCCAGTGAATGTGAAAAGGCAATATCGATATAAAATAAAAAGTTCACAGACCAGAGTAAGAATACAATGTAATAAGGGCCTTTCCTTACAAATTACCTACAACGTTCTAGGAAATTGGGTTAGAA